TAATAAAATTCATAAAATATTAATATTATAATATTTAAAAGAGAACAATACATCAATGTATTCTTATTTATTTATAAAGATCTATATATTTGTTTGAGTCTAAATCCAATCCAACTAAGAAAAATTAAATAGTTATTTAAATTTACAATATATTCTTTTTAGTTTAAGTTTAACTAAATAATCATTAGATTCATTTGGTTAAAAATAATAATTTGAAACTTAAGTCATAATTGATGTATATGCATTGAAAAATAGAGATATTTTGTTAATAAAAAAAAGGTTAAAACCCCTTTTTGGTCCCTGAACTATTGTACGGACCCCCGATTTGATCCCTGAACTAAAAAAATCCCTGATTTGGTCCCTACTGTTTACCATTTTTACCCCGATTTGGTCCTTCCGTCAAATATCAACCTACGTGTCTCGTTACTTGATAGGGAAAATGATAACATGTAAAAACATTTTGACACCTAGGATGTATAGTGTGACAAAAAAATGAGATGGTAAAAAAAAAATCTTAAAAAATTTGTTGTTCCTTTTTCCCTTTCTTTTTCCTCTCCCTTTCCCTTAACCTTCTGCAAACCCTAACTCATAATATTAAATTCGAGGATAACACAACAAATCAACATATTAAACTCAATAGATATTTGATCCAACGGCTGCTGGGTTCGAAACAAAACCCAGAGCCTCACTTGCAGGAACTCAGTGGCTGCTCAAACCCACTGCTTGCTGGGTTCGAAACCGAACCCAGCACCTGCAAAAACCTAGCATTCGAAATTGAAAAATCGAACCCAACACCTACAGTAACCCAACAATTGCCTTGCCTTGCCTTGCCTTCTTCATCTTCATCAATCAATTTTTCATCACAATCAAACAAAAAAATCCAAAAATCAAAAGGCAGAATACCCAAATCCACCCCTAAAGTATAGTGGTAGGGACAGATTCACCATTGAACAAAAAATGGGAACAAATCCACCCACAAAGTTTTCGACTTGGACAAATCACCCCAAATTTAACGTATGACGTCATTTGACATCAGCAATCTGTTAATTTGACGTCATCTGACGTCAGCAATCCGTTAACGAATTAATGAATTGTTGATATCAAATGACGTCACACGTTAAATTTGGGATGATTTGTCCAAGTCGAAAACTTTATGGGTGGATTTGTCCCCGTTTTTTGTTCGA